AAATAAATAAATAAATAGCTTTTGGGCTGAGATGATGGGGTCAAACAGGGATAGTTTGACTTCCTCTTTTCCTACTCGAATACGCTTCATTTCTTTCTCTTGCCTGATTGCCCTGGCCAGAACTTCCAATACTATGTTGAATAGGCGTGGTGACAGATGACATCCTTGTCTTGTGTCAGTTTTCAAGGGGAATGCTTCCAGCTTTTGCCCATTCAGTATGATATTGGCTGTGGGTTTGTCATATACGGCTCTGATTATTTTGAGATACGTTCCCTCAATACATAGTTTATTAAGAATTTTTAACACGAAGGTTGTTAAATTTTATCAAAGCCTTTTCTGCATCTTTTGACATAATCATGTGGCTTTTGTCTTTAGTTCTGTTTATGTGATGAATCACATTTACTGATTTGTGTGTGTTGAACCGAAGTTGCATCCTAGGGATGAAGCCTACTTGATCATGGTGGATAATCTTTTTGATGTGCTGCTGGATTTGGTTTGCCAATATTCTATTGAGGATTTTTGCATCAATGTTCTTCAAGGATATTGGCCTGAAGTATTCTTTTTTTGTTGTATCTCTGCCTGGTTTTGGTATCAGGATGATGCTGGTTTCATACAATGTTAGGGAGGAGTTCCTCCTTTTCAATTGTTTTGGAATAGTTTCAGCAGGAATAGTACCAGCTTTTATTTGTACATTTGATAGAATTGAGCTGTGAATACGTCTGGTACTGGGCATTTTTTTTTTTTTTTTGGTTGGTAGGCTATTTATTACTGTCAATTTCAGAACTCAATATTTGTCTGTTCAGGGATTCAGTGGTTCAATTTTGGGAGGGTGTCTGTGTCCAGGAATTTATCCATTTCTTCTAGATTTTCTAGTTTATGTGCATAGATATGTTTATAATATTCTCAGATGGTTGTATTTCTGTGGGGTCAGTGGTAATATCACCCTTATTATTTCTGATTGTGTTTATTTGAATCTTCTCTTTTTTCTTCCTTGTTAGTCTAGCTAGTGGTCAATTTATTTTATTAGGTTTTTTTTTTTTTTTCAAGAAGCCAGCTCCTCTATTCATTGATATTCTGAATTTGTGTGTGTGTGGCTGGGTGTGTGTATGTGTGTGTGTCTATCTTCTTCAGTTCAATTCTTATTTTGGTTGATTCTTGTCTTCTAGATTTGAGGTTTGTTTGCTCTTGGTTCTCTAGTGCTTTTAGTTGTGATGTTAGGTGGTTAACTTGAGATATTTCTAGCTTTTGAATATGGCCATTTAGTGGTATAAATTTCCCTCTTAAAAGTGCTTCAACTGTGTTCCAAAGATTCTGGTACATTGTCTCTTTGTTCTCATCGGTTTCAAACAACTTCTTGATTTCTGCCTTAATTTCCTTATTTACCCAGGAGTCACTCAGGAGCAGGTTGTTCAATTTCCATGTAGTTGTGGGACACTTCTGAACTTCACGAGCTCTTGTAAGGCAGGTCTGGTGGTAACAAATTTTCTCAGCGTTTGCTTGTCAGAAAAGGAGCTTATTTCTCTTTTGCTTATGAAACTTAGTTTGGCTGGGTATGAAATTCTGTTTGGAGTTTATTTTCACACATTCACTCATCACTTCCCTGGGCAGGCAAAGGGGTTCCCCCTTGACTCTGTGTCGCTTCTGGGTGGGCTGTCACCCAGCCCTGCTTTTCTCCATTCTCCATGGGTGGAGCTGTTTTCCTGATCATTTCCAATGTGAGTACTTGGATATTTCAGTTGAAGGTGCTGTGTTTACTCATCCCTTTCATTCTTCTCTGTGAGAGCCATGCACCATAGCTGCTTCTAGTTGGCCATCTTGGCCCCCTTCTGGCTGAGACTAATTCTATGTAATAGAGGTTGTACATAGATAAACCCTATAAACACAGATTATAGAGAAGGATCATACATGACACGTACAATATGGCTTTGCATGTGTCATGCATCAATCAAAATTATTCTGTTTTTTACTTCTGGGTATCTTGACTATATTATTTCATATGTGTTTCTATTTTTCTCTGTATCACAATTTTAGATCATTGAATGGACTGCTGGGCTAGACCTGGAAAATTCTTCTGCCAAGTGTACAGTATGTCTAGGTTCATGTCACTGTGTGGTATCGGTGTCCTTGTGACAACTGTAGGGGGATATAAGAGCAACAGTGAAATAAAGTCATCTCTCACAGCTGGCATGCATATTCCTGTAAATTTATGTGAACAGGAAAATAGACACAAATTGGAACCATGGAATTCAAAAAACAGTCTCTTAAATGAAGTCACAGAAACTACGTGAAAATTTAATGTAAAATGTTGAACTCTGCCCTCAGTTGTATGCACCTCTGCACAACAGCTCCATCTTCTGGAAAGGCAATGTATTTCTTCTCACATTTTTTCCCTTCTGTCTTCTCAAAGGCTTCATGTGAAAGCAGAAGACTCATGAGAAGACAACTAAAAGTGCTTTTCTCCACAGGAATATCACCCAGACACTACATCCAGGGGTCTCAGGTGCCACTGTGGAAAACTAGGTTCCCGTCCTCAGTGAGGCACAGCTGGGAGAAGGCACACAGCATTCAAATTTCCTTCAAGTCACTTGCTTAAGGTATACATTGAAGGTTCAAACTAAATAGGAAATCTTACAGAAGCATTTAGAACTACATATCAAGTCCAAGTCACTTTTAGATATTTGAGAATGTGTACAAACCGTATGAGTCTATTTTCCCCAAAAGTATGTTTTTTGCAGTAGTGGTTAGGAGTATTCTTTTGTGAGATGGTATTTTTCTTAACCAACCACCATTTAGATTCTTAGTTCTCTTAACTTTTAGGTTAACAACTCAATACGTTTTCCAAGTGTTCCTCAGTATATTTTTTTCTGGTTTGACTATTAGTTTAGGTGGTGCTTATGGCCCATTTAAACTCTGAGACTCTGAGACTCTGATGTATATCCATCTGGTTAGAGTATGTATGAGTAAAGCCAAGGTTAGTCAACGACTTGACCTCACTATCTTTTCCAAAATTTCTAGTTCTAACATTGGCTAGCAATTTTGAATGCTTGTCAGACAAATACCTCAGAGTCCTTGCCCTGCTAATGCAGTCATTATTAATAGTGAAAATGACATTGTGTTGCCTTATTTAATGATGTTAACTGAGTAAACATTTATAGAGCACCTATTCTTGGAAAGATTAAAAATATACTAAGTGATAATAAATGGTCTCTGTCTTAAGACGCTTAAGGAGAAATATGACATATTAACAAGTTGCCATGAATTAAGACATCGTATAATAATACAATAAGAGAGAGTATAAACTATTTTAATAAACATGTTCTACAAAATGGAACATTTGGGTCTTGAAAGGGGGCTAGGATTTAAAAGTATGAGTGGAGAGAAAAAGCATTCCAGTCAGAAGCACCAGCAGAAAAAGTAGCTCTGAGGTAGGCACTGGAATTATCAAATATATTTTTCTTCAGATTTTATGAAAGTATGCTTATCCATGAATGCTGAAGTGCTTATCTATGTCAATATATTGTTAAAGAGTTACCCAAGCTCAGAAAATATAGCTAGGGAATTTTTAGTTTATATTCTTTGATTTTACCATGGATCTGAATTTTTGTTATTTCATTGTTTAAATCGTTATTTTAATTTTTGCATTAAAGATAACACATTATAGAATATCTAATTTACTTATCATCTTCAGGAAAATCAAATAAGTATTTGTGGAGTATCAACTATTTTCTCTGCAGTAGTGCTTTTCAAACTACCCAGAGTGAAAGACTTTTATTTTTTTGTAAAATGTAAAATATTGTAGCAAAGTCAGATTGCTATAAAAGATTTTCAAATCTGTACTTCCAGGTACTGCACAATTAGTCTGCAGATTAGTACCAGTGGTCTTAGTATAATTTGAGTAGTTACAGTAAGTAAGGAGTTGATACAAAAGAAATACAGCATATTGTCACCATAATTGGTATAAGAATGTTGTGGGGAGGACTAGGCTTACCTATGTAACCAGTGGAAAATACAGCATATGGTACAATTACTAAAGATAAATACAGACATAAAGAAGAGCAATGATAAAAGCTGTTCTGGATCTCAGTTAAAAACTTTGGGGTTACTGCTTCACTCCCTGGACTCACGCCCCCTGCACACCATCCCTGATGTGCAGTTTCACTCATGGAAAACAAGTTTCTATACCAGCAGCTGAGGATGCATTTACTCTATGTTCAGCCCACTCAAAATACAGTTCTGTAATCAGAATACAAAAACAACCATCACCATCAACATCAGCCCAAATTTCATTACTGTGTTTCATTTAATACTGAAATCATACAATGATTAGAACATGAAACTTTGTTTTAAAAAGTATATTCAATAAATTTTGTCTTTAAAACAGAGCTCTTGACCTATGAAGTATAAAAAGTAATTAGAGTGAAATATTCTTCAGTGAATCTGACACTTTGGGATTCCAGGCAAAAGGATCGCTTGGGGGCCAAGAGTTCAAGACCAGCCTGGTCAACATAGTGAGATTCCATCTCTGAAAAAAAAGAACAGAAAACAAAAGTTAAACAAATCAATAAATCTGAGATGCACTGGTATGATTCACTGGCTTGTCCAATTGGTACTCTCTTAGCCACGGCTATTCCTGATGACTAACTGGCAGCAAAAGCCAGGTAATTATGGAGGTCTACTGAGTAGTCCCCTATTCAAGTGAAGTTTTCCCATTATTTATACTTAAGAAAAAATTAATGTGAGATTGGATTTTGAACGCCTACATTAAAAACAGAAGAGTGCAGGGAAAAAGGTGGGTGGGGAGGGAGAGAGATATCTGAACATTTACTTTACCATTTATCTTTTAAAATGACATGGAATGCCAATTCCCAAATCACTTAATCTTTAGAACCACTGCAATCTTTAGAAACATGTCATTGGAAACATGCCAAGTGTTGGTTCACTGTGGTAGGTCTCCCATCTTACTTGCATTTTCACTGTATTAAACTTGACCCTTGCATGGGTTTACCCTCCAGCCTGTGGGTCTTCACTAACTAGGACCCTATCTACCTGCATGTTTTGCTCTCCACTTTCTTTGCCATTCACTAGCCCCTTCTTTAGTGTTTGGTCTTCAGGTCACCACTTTCCCTTTCAGCTAATTCCATTACTCCAACTTTCTCTGTTCCTTTAGCTATCCTATCCTAGAACAACTCTCCCAGGGATGAAAATGGGGACTTCACAATTGAGAAATGAAAGGAAAGATGTTATGAAAACCTTCCTATCTTATTTTTTGGTAAATTCACTCTTTCCCTGTCTCTATCTCTCCCTGTCACATATACACTGTCACACACACAGAAATTTACAGGGTAAGAGAGATTAGGAAGATAAATTTGGTAGTACAATCAGGAAGAGGTTGAAGAGGTGCTAATACTAAAAGAGAGATTTTAATAAAACATTTTTAGAATTCATAGGTATTATGATAACTCTATTGTAAAATGCTGTTGTTTAAAATTATCTTTATATGGGCAAACTGAGTCTCTGTCTCCAGTGACTGTGAACAAGTTATTCAGTTCACTAAGCCTCATCACCTCATCTGTAGAATGAGCACCATATTAGCTCCTGTCATAAAGGCTAAATAATTTTGTAAAGGACAGATTACAAAGTGTATATAAAGTATTTTTTTGTTGTTGTTAAAATGCTCATAATGTCTGTAATATTTTTAAAGTAAAGAGGTATAATGACTTATACTTCTGTTTATTCTGGAAACTGATTCTTAGTTCAGCTGGGGAATTTTTCAACTTTTCTTTCAAATATTGAGATAAATAACACTGATCTATTTATCTATCTATCTATTTTGAGATAGGATGTTACTCTGTCACCATGCTGAAGTGCAGTGGCCTTTGTCTTTCAGGATCAAGTGATCCTCCTACCTCATCCTCCCCAATATCCGGGACTACAGGTGTGTAACACCACTCCCAGCTAATGTTTTTGACTTTTTTGTAGAGATGAGGTCTCACTATGCTGACAAAGCTGTTTTGTTGTTGTTGTTGTTGTGGTTGCTGTTGTGTTGTTGTTGTTTTTTATTATACTTTAAGTTCTAGGGTACAAGGGCACAACATGCAGGTTTGTTACATATGTATACATGTGCCATGATGGTGTGCTGCACCCATTAACTCACCATTTACATTACATATATCTCCTAATGCTATCCCTCCCCACTCCCCCCTCTCCACAATAGGCCCCAGTGTGTGATGTTCCCCTTCCTGTGTCCAAGTGATCTCATTGTTCAATTCCCATCTATGAGTGAGAACGTGTGGTGTTTGCTTTTCTGTTCTTGCGATAGTTTGCTGAGAATGATGGTTTCCAGCTGCATCCATGTCCCTACAAAGGACACAAACTCATCCTTTTTTATGGCTGC